AGCCCCGGAGGGGTATTGGGTATATATAGCTGGTATAGGTGCTATTATGCTAGTGATTTGAACTGTTCGAGGACAATTCGTCATGTAAATTTCACGTCTCGCTGTAATATAATACGATACGCCGAGACGCGTATAAAACAATAAACAAAAACAAAGTCGATTCACCGCTGATAGTCGGTCAATCACACGGAAACTACACGGAAAATCAAAAAAAAAAACGACGTTTTCAATGCGTCAACCATACACGATTCGCTTGTAAAAATGTTGCTTAAGTTGAAAATCGGAGCGATATTTCTAGTAGACAAATTGTAGAGTAATTTTTATTGTAGAGATGTATATAGGGTGAAACCTCCTCTAACGGGCACCTCCCAATAGCGGACACCTCCTAATAGCGGAATTTTTTTTTTATTTTTGAGGAACGGGGACATTTTCATTACTTTTCAATGGGAAAATCTCCGAACAGCGGGAACTATTTTAATCATAATTAAAAAAAATAATGACAAAATGACGTTACCGAAACGCATTCGCATTAGTATGTACTCTCGTAATAATGTAATAACCATTACGAATTCGATAAGATTATGAATAGCGGACACCTATTACAGTGGATTATTATTAATAATTATGACAACACGGCGACAGCATTAGGTTTAACGATAATGAACTCGTTCTACAAACTTGTTATCGAACGATATGATAAGAATACGACGACTAACGACGGTTATGACAAAAATTATGTTTTGACTGTCAATGTTTCGTTTGTTTTGTTAGTCAGTGACTTACTTTTCGACAACTGACGAGTGATTGCGACTTTGCGATGAGTAGGCTGAAATGAAAAAGTTTGTCGCTTCGAGAAAAAAAATCGAAATTCTTGACTTCCGTAAAAACAATGGAAACGTAGGAGTTCATTTTCTAGCAGAAAAGTTGGAAGTCGAAAATGTCATAGTTACATTTGTATTTTATATTGTATTTTTTTAACAACATTATAATTAAATTTAATATAGAGCAAACGTTTTCATTTTACACAATATCCTTTATGAATTTCAAAAATGTACCCCTCTGAGTAATGGATACCTCCGAATAGCGGACAAAAATCTGGCGACCGAAGGTGTCCACTATTCAGAGGTTTCACTGTGTATATATATTTTTTAAATATAATTATCTTTCACATATAGTAATTATTAGGCAAATCAGATTTTCAGATTTACAATTTTTCCAACGATTATTTAGGTTTCCGAAATATATCGAATTTATACGTAGTAGGAAAATACATAAAAAAATGTGTATAATCTGTTTGATCTTGAATTTTTCAGATACCTATCTGCAGGTACGTATGTAATCATTGTATTTAATTGATTTAATACATAGATATTCGAATAAATTATTATCAATTTAATTTTGATGTTATTTTTAATATTTTGAAGTAAACATTAATAATACAAATTAATTAATTAATCATTATTGAATTCTATGAGCATAAAATTACTTTTATACCGGTTCTATCATATGAAAGATATTTAAATGTAGTATTTTTTTTTATATGAAAGTAGCTTTTTATTTTCCTAGTAGTTTTCATAAAAAATTAGAAAAACCTGAAAAAACCATGTAGGAAAACCAGACAAATTTGTAACAATTAAAGTTTTATTATTATCGATTTTTTTTTCAGAAATAATAAGAATAAGAAATAAGAATTTTATTTGATTGCTTTATAAGAAAATATCGTTTTTTCATTTTTTTTTTTTTTTTTTTTTTTTTGTGTTGTTTTTTAATAATTCGGAAACACAGGAAAGTTTATGATATTGACGGTTTTCATTATTTTAGATTTTGTTGAAAATCAGTTAAAAATAATTGTAGAGACCTGACATTTTTACAAAATAATTATATTTCTCTTTTCTAGACGTGGTACAGTTTCCAAAATAGTCTAGTTATTTTTGTATGCTATTTATAGAAATTTTACATTTATACAAGGTTTTATTTTTATTTGATTTTAGGTTTATAAAATCGTTTCGATCGATCGGAAATGCGTAAAAATTGAACGTAATATAGTCATTTTTCTATAGTTTCAAGTTCAAATTTTGAAGAAAATGGTAAAAATTACGGCATTACAAAACATGCAGTTTAATTAAACTTCGCTCAGAATCGTATTTCGTTGACAATAATTTATCGTCACGTATAAATATACGAAATCACTATATGCATCTTACCTTACCAACTCATTCCTATATCCCTACAATAGTGATACAATCATCAGCAGTATCAGCTCTTTTTTTTTGTAAGGTATCTATTTATAATTATATCGAGGTATCAGCATTCGTATTATATGATAATATTATACTTCACCTGCATTATTCCTACCTATGCATTTTTCGCAAAATTATTTGACGATTGATGATTCGGGACAGTTTGGCTCGATCGCTGCGAAGAATAATGGGAAACCTGCAATAGAGGTATTTACTATTTACAGACCTCATCGTTTTCTTATACGTACTCGACCGCGGACATACATTTTAATAGCGAAAGGGCTGTGATTGTCGGTCGATGAATCATATCCTTCAACCACTACTGTACAACATAAATTCGGTAGAATTTGATTAAAGTTGTCTGTGCAGGGACAAAGGGGAACCTTAAAACCACCTACCCCAAGTGTTCTAGACGTGTACATAATACTGCTGACAAATGGACGGGTTAAGCAGCCACACAAAAGCTCGGGTTTTAAAAGAACAAGATCCCCGTTTTCCATTGCTCTGGAAACGATCCAAACACACCTTATTTGTCTATGGTCTTCTTGTAAGTTGTCGAAAGATAACCAAGTTACCCTAGTTATTTAATTTTAACGACCACAGATTTGCACAAACATTTAGGAGAAAATAAAATAAGATTAAATATATAGTTATGACTACGATAAGTATATTCTGTACATAGATAATAATATTATCACTGCAGCCCGACAAAATGTAATTATTTGATTGAATATCAACACGCCAAGAGGTTATAACGAGTAGAATTTAGTAAATAAACAACAAAATATAGGCGTAGGTGCGTTAATAAACAATGAGAGAAAAAAATACATATCACGTATTAGATTATAATGGAGAATGTATACATACTTTTAACACTAGACGTAAATATGTAAGTATTTGAATCAGACCTATTCGTGATGAAATAAATAACAATTTCATTTTCTCTGTAATTCGGCAGTGTAATAATATAATCGCTGTAAAATAATACAATATACTAAACAATAAAATGTTTACATTCCTATGTACAAATAAAGATAAATATGAAAGTTTATGTTTTGAGCAAAGCACAACGGAAGCTATTAATTTTATATAATAGCTGCTTTTTTTTTTCGAAAACATTATTGTTTTTATAGTGGGTAGTGACAATATTTGTTTCATTCAAAATTTGCAATCAAAAATAACAATTGAAAATGTGAAGATACCTATATACTTATGTATATCAGTGTATACTGTATACCTACGCATTTTAAACAATTATTGTTTCAATATTGTCATCAGTATTCATATAAACTATAAAGTTTATAAAAAAAAAAATAAAAAATTTCTAAAATCTAAGTACCTATCGGCTACCGCTCATCTACATAGTGGAAACGGTGGAAACTATAACGATTAGTAATTTGATATTTTAAATTAGATCTGATATAGAATTTTTTTTTTAGATAGGTACATGCAATTTTTTAATTTTGAATTTCAGAATTGTCTAAAAAAAAAAAATGTATTTTATATGCACCGACATTACATTATCTCCGTACTCCGTTTGATTTCTTATACTAAATAGTAGCAAAAAGAAAACGAATTTTGCCATTATTTTGTTTAAATTTAATTATTTGAAATAATTTATGGACAAAAATATTAACACAGTGTACAATATTGACCTAGAACTTAAATATTAACAATTACTACAGTTTCGTTTGTGATATTGTATCAATATTCTATGGACCATTGAATATTGAGCTATTTTTAATTTTGCTACTCATTATTGTTTTTTTTTTCTGAAATACATGTTCTTATAGAGTATAGATATTATAAGGATACTGTTTCAACTAATGAGTCATTATTAACAATGACGTCAAGGAACGCTGCTAAAATTGATTTATTGACGTCAACAATTAAGCCTGAAGGCTGTTTTTTTTATTAGCTCTTCTCAGATCATTTATTTTCCGTTATCTCAGTAACGATTCCATATGATAAAATATTTGTTTGCTTTTTCACAAAAGCAATATTCACACAATGCATATTTTATTGTACATTCCAGAAAACAAATATTGAACCGAGTACATTTTGCCGGTCTAGTGTGACTCATTGTCAAAATCTGCCTGTGATGTAGTATAACAAAGCCATTGTAGTTAATTTTATCCCCGATTAAGATAATAGAAAAAAAAGACGGACATACTTCACACATGGGTGCAGCTACTGTTTTAGTTTGGAAGTTGGGAAGGTAGGATATATAAACGGGAATTTAATGTATATCTATACGCAATAATAAACCATTGCTAACGAAAAAACGATTCTGAAAGGAGTTCAGTTGATAGTGTTGCTTTGTCAACAATTTATGTATCATATTATGGTAAAATAATTACATATGCATTGAACATTTTCTTTAATGATATTTGTATAATATTGCACCTATTTTCCCGTTTCTCCATTTTTTCTCGGTTCCAATATATTGAGAAAACTCCTGAAAAAATCAAAACATGACTTACTTAAAGTACCTCACCAGTCAAATTTCGTTTTAGAAAAAGTGCTACACTTGTAAATCAGAGCAATAATTTTGGTGTAAAAGATGTTCACAGAAAAAAAATAAAGAAATAAACATTGTAAGACTAAACGCTTATATTCGCTCCACTCAGAATCAAAAAAGGCCAAGCCAAAGTCAAATTGAGGGTAGTGATAACGTTCCCTGTCAAGAGATCTAAAAAGATAACTAATAATATTTTAATACGTATATTGTTATATGTATGATACAGAGATCCAAGGAATATGTTTGGCGTAGTAAAAAATACTGAAGCTAATAAATGGAGAATAAGAAAGAACGAGAAACTAGAAATTAGAATCATTGTAACTGAACATCGTAAAAACCATCAGAAGTAAGAGATTATATAATGGACAAAACACACGTCTGTAGAAGCCAACACGCATTACTTCATACAGTTCTGGAAAAAGACCCTATAGAAAAAAAAAGCCCTTTGAGAGTCCGAGGTAAGGCGGGAAGACGTATAATCAAGAAAGATGTGGAAGTACTAAGAAGAGAATTAGATTGGGAAACACGAGCATCAGAAAGAAATGACCGGATGTATGGATGTTTGACGCGGTGGTTCAAGACTAGGTCTTCTAATGGCCACATTATTTGTATTCTGAAGAAGAATAAACAGCAATTGTTATCTTGATCTTATGGATGTCACAACAGTTGTAACAATAACAAGTCCATTTTATCCGAAAACATAAGCCGCATTGTTTATGGAATAGTATTCGTTTGCGCGCGGGTAATGTAAAATTATTCAATTTAGTTTCCGATTACGTGGTCATTGGCCACCGGTCATTATTATATAATACGTTTTCTATAATAGTTTTATATTATACCCACTACATTATTATTATTCTATGAGCAATAATATTATACAATTCACACAANTATATAATACGTTTTCTATAATAGTTTTATATTATACCTACTACCATTATTATTATTCTATGAGCAATAATATTATACAATTCACACAATTCACTGCGGACAAACCATAATAAAAGAGATCCATCAAACATTCATAAATAATTAATTATGATATTCGATTGTTTTTATGCGTCCAATATTTTACCATAGATGAATTATTTATACACATTACCTAAATAATCAGAATACATAAATTATTACTATGCTTTCCCAAAAAACATTACTCGCTACAGTGCGTATAACTATACTTATTGCGTATGACGGTGCTCGCAGTTATTTTCTTTTTGGCGTTTATGTGAAAACAAAAAAATGTAAAAAAAAGACGGACGTTAGTTTAAGTTTTTCCTTATTAGATACTCAATAGCCAAAGTACAAGAGTTTTAAAAATTAAATGACCTCGTGAATTCACCAATTGTAGTTTTAAAAAAATGCTATCTGCAAAAACCCCCGGGTTGTTGCATGCGTTATTGATTTTCTATTGAAATAAGTCATCTTATCAATAATTTGTTCACAGACAGGAAAAATCAAAAATACACACACAAACATACACACACACATACACACATTATAGCGTCTTTTTCTCTTTCGCCTTCATCACAACTATTTGGGGTCAGCCATTCTCGTCTTAAATTTCCACTTGACCCGATCTCGCACCTCGCATATACCGACTGTCCTCGTATCGTTCTCAACTGTATCCAACCATCTCTTTGTCGGTCTTCCTCTCCTCCTATTTCTTTCTACGTTTATTTTCATTACAATTCTTACTGCTTCTGATTGCTCTCTTCTTATGACATACCTCAACTATCTCAGATTACTTTCTCTCATTTTGACTACAATGGAAATCACATCTTCGCTACTTCTATGTACTCATTTATTATTATATATTTTTTCGTCACTACACTCATCTACTTAAGCATTTTCATCTCTGCTACACTCATTATCTGATCTATTTTTCTGCCTACCGCCCAACAGTACTCCGAACCAAACAACATAATAGATAGTAGGCCTCACCACACTTTTGTAGAACTTACTATTAAATCTAATTGATATGCTCTTGTCGCATAAAACACCTGATGCTTCTATCAACTTTATTCACCTACATTAAATCGTATGTTTTACCTCTTCGCCAAAGCCACCGTTCTTTGTACAAAAGATCCTAGGAACTTAAAATCTCTCAATTTCGTCAATTTCATTACCGTCTATTGTCGTTAAATTTCTTTTTCTAAATGAAACCCTTTATGCTCGTACTATTTACACATTTTGAACATTTTTCATGTACCACTTTCTACAATTATTAGGGTTTTTAATTTACTTATCAAAAAAAAAAAAGTGTAGGCACGTTATTTACACGCATGGAACTTTTTATTATTAAATCATTGAAAGCATAATTATTTTAGGCATATAATATACAAAAGTACAGATATTATTTTTATTATCATTTATAGATTGCATGACATTATAACTAATAACTTTTTCTTTGCGTACAACAGGTTGAGAATCGCTGCTCTAGTAAGTAGTTTATTGTACATTGTATACACAAGTCCGATTTACCAAGTCAACTAACTGTCGTTTTCGGTTTTAATTTCTTCGCTATCATCGTCAACATATTTCACTCTATAATATTATTGTGTTTACTGTTTTAAATTTGATGTATACCATTGATTTTTTCGATTAGTTTATTATGTTTCGTAACAGGTACACACAATTTGGTCCATACATCTCCAAATTTTAAAAATCTGGAAGGAAAATTTAGTATTATTTTAGAATCTGAGTGGAGCAAGGAATGTATTAGTTTTTTGGCTGAGGTAGTACTTTGGAGAGGTAATTTTAGATTTTCCCAATAAATGAAAAACTTAGGAAAAACGGAAAAATAGGTACAATATTAAACAAATGTTGTTAAGAAAAATGTTTAATGCATATGTAATTATTTTATCACATTATGGCATACATATTGTTGACAAAGCAACACTATCAACTGAACTCGGCTCAAAATCGTTTTTTCGTTAGCAATGGTTAATAGTTGCCAAACAACCTTCCCGAATTCCCACCTACAATAGTGGCTCTGTCCCCATTATCCTAGAACGGCTTTTTTTTTTAAATGTATCGAATGTTCTCTATACAGATTCCGTACGCAAACAAATGTATTGTATATAGCTTAATCAATAATATACAAGTACACATTATTCACATCTACATAATTATTTATAACTTGATTTACCTACCCGCCTTGTGTTCCGTCCGTATAATATCCTTGTGTTCCGTCCGTATAATATTATAATATAAATGGAAAATCCAGAGGTCAAGTCCCCTGAAAATCCAGAGGTCAAGTCCCCTNATAGCTTAATCAATAATATACAAGTACACATTATTCACATCTACATAATTATTTATAACTTGATTTACCTACCCGCCTTGTGTTCCGTCCGTATAATATTATAATATAAATGGAAAATCCAGAGGTCAAGTCCCCCCCCCCCCCCCTCCCGTCGTCTACCCCTTTGGATTAAACATTCATGTATATTTGAATTATTTTGTGTTGTTTGACGTACCTGTGTGCAAGCGTAATATATTATTATAACATTATATTGCAATACCTATTGTCTAAAGGCGCCTACACAGCTCACTGTGAAACGTGATAATTTACAATTTGTTCACCACGATTGATACAATTTAAAATAGTTGAACCATTATCATTAAACCGTGATGAACACACGGTCCGACTAGTATTCAACTCAACTATCCGGCATAAGCGGTATAGGGAAGGTATCGAAATCAAAAATGATGATTAATCACTGGTTAACCACTACATAATAACCACATGGTTCAACCAATCACAGTCCTAGAATATTTCACGTTTCACGGTAAGCTAAGAAAGCATCTTAATCAAGTAGATCTAATTAGAGTATTAAATAATCAAATTAATATTCAAAACAAAAAATAAACATATATTTATGAAAATTATTTTTCTTACATTTTCTTACGTTATTATACAATATATTATACAAACAAATAACAATTGCCAACCTATACAAAGTCATCATAATAAATTATTAAGTACATATTTATGATTGAATATCCAATCGTATGCTCATTCATTTATAATTTATTTATACATAATAATAAATCGTTTTACTTTTTTCGAACACTTGAATAATTTATTCAAAATGAGAATAAGAAAAAAAAAATATCATTTGTTTATCGTACTATAAAAGTATTTTTTTCTAAATTTTTCTTTACTCTTTAACATCACATATTGTTCATATTATACTAAACTATATATTATTATATACCTGTACATAAAAATAAGAAAAAAAAAAAACAATGATAATATTTATAATTATATATTTATTTTGAAATACCGAAAGAAAATTATAGGCAAAACGGCAAATATTTACGGCGCGCCGTGGCGTTACCGTTTTAATTGTGTTATGTAAGTACTTGAGTTTTCTGCCAGAATTATTACTTCAATCCGAAAAAAAACACGAGAGATCGATTTTTGTACCGTTTTTCATCTATAGTGTTATGAGAAAGTTATTCGTTTTTTTTTTATTATTTTTTTTTTCTCTGCAGTTTTATTAATAAATAGTAAAAAAAAACCGGAAAAAACCTAAAATAAAACCTTACCTTACTTACATATATAAAAGCTAACAAATTATTATTCGAATCGAACACAATTTCCGAATGATAGTATTGATGTATTCGACATATTCCGAGACGTTCAAGTTTGGTACCTATCACGGGTACCGAATTAAAGGCACCGACTCCTGCCTATACTTACGGGAATTCGAGGGCCCCGCCGCGCCGCTGGACGATACACGTTTATAATATTACTTTTATGTAATTAATCTAATTATTTACAGTACAGTTTTCCGGCTACACACAAAGAAAACCAAAATAAAACACGAGACATTTACCGTTGAAAATTTCGAATTTTAACGACGTTAAGTTTCGACCGTGTTACCAAACATTCAATAAACTTAATGCAGTGAATATGTGTACACATTACGATTTTAATCCTAATTTCCTCGGCGCAGTGTCAGGATTGCGCCAACAGCTTATATAGGTAGGATTGAACCGTGTTGCTGGATAATTCCAAATAATTCGAAAGTACCGTGTAATGTGTATATAATATTTTTTACTGTTCATAACACAACGCGGTCAAATATTATAACAAATCACCCGTTGCAGACGTTTTGAGTTTAAAAAATATATCCACGCTCAGACGGGAGACATCCCTTATTCCCTTCGATTTGTCCGCATCGCGTGATTAAAATGGATGTTTGGCGTTTACAAACCTGATACCCGTTACAAGTGCACACTTGAATAGTCGGGTTTTTTCTTTTTTTTTTCTTATATTGCTTAGGTACCTTAAAGTTTAAATATTACAATCATTGTGTGACACGAGTGCTTTGGTACCATCAATATCTGTAAGCTGTTTAATGATTACTATTCAATGCTGCATTATTTAATATTTAGCCGCAGTTTGGAAACGGTACGGCATTCATCTGATTTGATGTATAATTTTTTTTTTTTTTTTCGGTTCGGGTGCGATCCAGAGGTATCGGCTCCCCCCGGTAATTACGACACTGAACGGGCCCGGTCTAGCGGAGACTCGGGAATTATAGGACCGGGATCGTCAAGCATTCGGCTCAAGAGCGGGGAGACGGAACTCGAATCAATATCAATTATTAAAACTCTCGAAAATGGCATGTACGTAGACAGCCGTGTAGGTATAAATTTATAATAATATTGTCGGTGTACATCACACGTATTGTGGGTAAAACATCCGATAATAACTAAGGATATTTGCGCGCACATTGATAAGCCGCAAGTGTCGTTATCAATGACGATCGTATTTCAACACGTTATCACGCGGTAATAATATTATTAACAACAATAATATTATTGTTATTGTTGTTATCGTTCTGGTAGGCGTATATAATCGGCGCGTCGGTCGTTGATAAAAGCGTAGCGGACGCCTGTTGTAGCGGTTGCAGTGCCGTGCGTTATTATTGTCGTTGTCGCCGTGCGTCGCCCGGTCGCCGCTCGCTCGTCACGAAATCATTTAACACGCGGGCGCGCAATAATTTCCGTTCGTTTCTCGTCGGCCCCCGGCCCGCGGCGTCGCCACCGCCGTTGGTCCGAACCGCAGTTTGTTTGGACCGCGACGCGAGTCGTTCCAGAAATAAACACTCGCACTCTCGTCGCGTACCCACACCTGCACACGCGCGCACGCACCCGCGGAACGTTCGGTCATCAAAAACACGGTCGTCGTCCCAAATCGCCGCCGACGCTCGTTCGTCCGACCTAACACCACGTATCGGTTGTACCGTCGCGCGCCCGTGTTTGCGCCTCGTGACTAATAACGCGAACAATAAGTGGGCAAAAGAATTCGTGGTTTTTTTTTTTTTTTTCTCTCACTCGCCGTTTCCGCGCCCGTAAAAAACACCTAGGTGTGTCGGCACAATAACAACGTCGTCGTGAACGCGATAATTTCAACCGCCGACGAGCCGTCGGAGACCGTCGTGACACCCGTAGCTACCCGCTATACGACAGCTATGCGTGATACCGGACTTTTGTATAATGCAAGATGTACGTATGTCGGCCAACGTCGATATTGTTACCTATATTCTGGTATATACGGATACCTGATAATACTAGTACTTTCTGACGTGTATTGTCGGCAGTCGTGTGTCTGTTCGACTCTTTGATATTGTATTGTACATTTTTCGGTTATGCGTTTCAGAAGAACCCGAAAGAACTGACCGATTATCACCATCATTATGAAGCGACCGAAACGGTGAGGAACGTTTTGGAAAAGCGGATGGTCACTGCCGACCTGTTCCAACAGACGTTTTTGTCCACCGTTCTTTCGGCACTGGACAACCACACCGGTAGCAATCAATGTACGTCGAAGTTTCTATTACTTTGCATACAATAATCATTAACATTCACGTAATAATATATTCCTCCTTTATTATGATAGGCGTAATCAATTCTTGGTTGGATACCTTGTTAGATTTCATTGAATTATTGCCCGTTGATTGTTTGCAACGAGAGGTAACATACTACGCAAATAGGTATGTTGTTTTTTTTTTTTATAAATCTATTAAGTTATTATTTTTTTTTGTAGATTTTACCGTTTGCCATTGAAACAAGTGATCTTTCAAAGCCAGAATCGTCACGTTTAATTAGTTGCAAGATTTTTGGATCTCTTGCTTCAAAATTAAATGCATACACGTTAGTAATTATATTTTAACTACACATAATATTATTAAAAAATATATAAGAAATACAAAATATAATCATAACGAAGAAAATACTTGAGGAACTTAAGGTGCTACTTACCCAGGATAAGTTTTTTCATCATATATTATAATTTGTGTTTCTTGTATACATGTTATATTTATCTGGTTGTTATTTTATCTACTACTACCAGAATCATTCCTCTCATTATAAGTTATGTGTAATTTGTATTTATTTATTTTATATATAGCATAAAACGTGAAATATGGCCATGTATTTTATCACTGTGTCAAGACGAAAGTGTCTTAGTCAGAAAAACAGTTTGCAAAGAATTAAGTAAAGTGAGTGCATTTCTTAAAGACAACGGCAATAACCCGAAGGACTGTATCCTGCTGCCAGCAATTGTGGATTTAGCTAATAATGCTGATTATAGTGTCAAAGTTGCTCTACTCGATGTCATCGTAGATATTATACCTTGCTTTCCCAAAGAAACAATCGTGACAGTATTAGTGCCAACGGTTAAAAAACTAATTGACACAGATCTCAACAGAAGCAGTTTATTAGTGATGGCCATTTCCAAGAATTTTGGTACCATTTGTAAAACTCTTAAAGGTTAGACATTAATTTGATTATATTTTTAATGATTACAATTCAAAATACTTTTAAAACATACCACAGCATATTAGTCCAGTGTGTGTGATCTAAAATAATACTGAATAATCACTAAACAACAGTTTATTTTAAAATTCAGGAATTTTGATATAATATATTACAATTCATAGATTATACAAATAGGTAATACTGATGAATCTGAACTTGATCTACATGAATGATTTACAAAAATAAATTATCACTATAAGATTTGCTAATATGTACAATGTACATCAGAATAAATTACATTTTGGAATTGTAAATAAATTACTCTATATTTTTTTTTTTATGGTGTAGTCTTGATTTGGTATGTAAAAATGTCTTTTAGTTTATTTAATTTTGTATTATTTTCTTGACATTTGAAAAGCATATTTTCAGGTGAGGTAATTTTAAAAAACTATTGCTCTTGACACAAACACAGTTTAGCTCTCAGCAATTCATGGAATTTTTTTTTTTCTAAAATGTGTGTGTGTGTGTGTGGAAGAATATAGTTTATTTAAAACTGTTTTATTTTATTTTTTTGATTATTTAGACCAAAATAATTTTATAAANTGGGGGGGGGGGAGAGCTGAGAGGCATGGTGAAATAAATACAGCGGTTATAACGTCAAATTATTGTTATAAATAACAAAATATTTAATAAAGTTTTAAAATTGACTGTTTTTCTATTTGAATTCATAGAATAATCATGACATCTCCATGCATTTCCATCAATGCGATTAACTTTCAAACATAACTTAATAATTTAAGAGGAAGTCGTTGAACACATTTTAATGTATTATGTTTGACAATTAGCGTCCAAACATTTTGGAAAAAAATCGCCTGGGAGCTAAACTGCATTTGTTCCTTGCTTTCATTAGGTGTTTATAAATAAAACACACACGCTCATTCAAAAACTTTACTCTTTAGATATCTGTATGAGTATTAAATAAAATTTAATAATATGATTTTATGAACTTATGGAGTTATTAAATATTCAAAGTATAGTTAATAAATTAGATAACTATTTTACTTATTAGGACTTATGTAAGTACTTTATACTTAAATATTTAATAATTCTATAACTTCATAAAATATTAATCAAGAATAGAATTGACTATAATTATATAATAATTGTATAACAATAATAGTCAGTGTAGAGACCCGAAGTAATCACAGAATAAAAGTTAAAAGTTAAACTTTTTGGTGAAAATCATTAAAATCAAGTCATTTGAAAACGTATTTAAACTTTACTCAGAATCATATGTCACCAGCATTTGTCATTACATATAGATATAAATTAATTTACTTTTTGTATTCTACTTTACTAATTGTTTAAAATCTGTGTGCCATTTTATACATTATTTAAATGTTTTTAAGTCATGAACAACTGGGTTCTAATTATTTGCCCTATAGAAAATTAAAATACTATTTTTATTTTTAGTTTTTAAAACAATATAATATTTTACCTATTATTAAAATTATTTATTTTCACCTATATAAGGGTATCTAATTCTTGTCAAAATATTTCTTTTTTAGTTTCTAGTATTTTAATTTGAGTGTTAACTATTAAATACTTTTATTTTTTGAGTAACCTTATTCTTATCAGTAAAATATAATTGTATATTATTGATTTTATGATTTTCAGATTATTTAAACTTGGATGATGTGTCTTGGTTTGTCAATAAGTATATTGATTTACTGAATGTTGATTGTAAAACTGAGTGTATATGCAATGTAAGTATACATTGGTTATAATTTATTCCCAGTAATTTATCCAAATTTTAAACATTTTAAACATTTTATTATACAGTCAAAAAATTAATCAGGCATTTAACTAAATATATATTATGAATATTATTTGTTTGACAAAAAATTACAAAAATTGGATACTTTGTTAAACATTATGTCCATTTGAAATTATATTTTCATATTTATTATTATTCTTATTTAAGTACAAATTTAATATAAAGATAATGTTTAATATGTAAAACATTTATAATTTTGTATAGTTAATCATCAAATGCTATAAAATATACACGTATAGATAATTGCAATTGGGAAGGGTAGTATGAGTATAAAACAATTATTAAATAAGTTATTTAATAATTTGAGTACAGCTCAAAAAAAATTGGTGATACAGGTTTAATGTTTAAAAACTTAAATATTCTTTAAAGTACACATTATAAATAATTGTAATTAGGGTACCCAGTACAAGTATACAACATTAATAAAACAATTATGTACTATTTAGTAATATTACTAAAATTTACCTGTTATTGCTTAGTGGCATTTGTTGCAACATTTGTCATTTTTTTTGTGTAAGTATATAAGTAACAATAACTACTGTACTCGTATTAAAATATTAGTTCAATTTAAAGAAAAATAAATATTCAATGAAATCAACAACTATAATATCACTCATATTTGTAATTTTTCCGGTGTTCAATAAAGAAGAGTGTTTTACAATAAAACCTATGTGTGTTTTCTTTCTATGTTACTGGATTAAGAGTATCTATTGTAAATGCAAAGATGAAAAAATATAAAATATAAAATAAATATGAAAATGTATTTTCAAGTATCATAATTTATAAAATGTCTTTGTTTTGTATTATTTTCCTAACCTGTAATAGGAAGTTATTAAAACATCTAGATATTCCGCTAAATGCCTGATTTGACTATATGACTATAATATGTTATATAATTTATAATATACATGTAAAACAAAGTCTATTTATTATATAATGCAAGTATAAAGAAATGATATTTTGTTTATAAATAATAAATTAGAACTCTAAACAAATAATCACATCACAATTGAAAATTATTTGTTAATTTTAAATTAATCTGATCTTTACACTCATAAATATTTACAGGGTAATTCTATTTGTGAAAAACCATTTTTGACTATTCGGACATTTTGTGCTAATAATTTAATAGATGTTAGTTATTTATTAAGTACACCAGATAAAGAAATAACAACTTTACTATATTATTTGATCAATCATTTAGTTGATTTGGTCAGTGAAGATTATGTGGAGATAAGAATAGCTTTGGTTGGTGTTATCAAAAATGTGAGTATTTCATGTAATTCAAAAAAGTTACTAGTTGTTTTATCAAAACTAAAACTAAACATACAAATTATTAATTAGAGCTGTAATTTATTAAAAATTGTATTAGGTTTTAGAATGTGTAAATAAGAAAATTGGATTGATTTCCTCGGTGGTGCTGAAAATGTTGTCTGAGAGGGATATTAGAGTTTTAAAAGTTATGATACCCAATTTGAGTTTTATAATAACAAAAATAGTAAGTCAATATTGTCAAAAACTGTAACAGAACATTAATTTGATTTTTTAATTTTTAAAGAAATATCAAGAAGAAGTATTAAAATCACTGATGTGCTTGGAAGAATATTTGTATGCCCAGTATAACTGGAGGTTGTATGTCGAATTTTTGCACCAGTTAATGGTTTTACCTACATGCTACACATCTGACCAAGTGTTTCTTATTGGTAGAGTAATGCTTAATAGATTGGAATATGTTGTAAGTATATATTTTATTTTTATATAGAATTTAGTATTATTTCAATACAAATTAAATTCTGATCTTTTCCAGAGACAAAAGCCTATTAAAGAAGCTGTTTGCACATTGTTGTTAACAATTTTACGTTACAATTTAGATGCTAATCAAAGAGCCTTACTCCGTGAATCTCTCATTACCCGTAATTATATCAATAACATTATTAAAAAATGTATTTTCTAGTTGAATTGGGTGTGTTAGTATATTATCTAACTTTATATTAGTTTTTTCTTGAAAAATAAATATTAAAAATTATTTGAAAATGTTATATTTATTTATTTTATTTATTCTGTTTTTTTAATTCTATTTTGTTACATTTTTAAATTAAGCATACATAGTTATTGGATATTTTATATTCATTACAATATCTTTTGAATTGTTTACAATAATTTGAAACTTTTGTAAACTGATTGATTTACAATTAATTTACATTGATTACAAATTTGAATTATTCTTTAAAGATTAAAAATTAAAATTAAATAAATTAGTAACTCAATTTTAATTGGTTTTTTAAATTTAAATACAATTATTAATAGGTATAATTTAAGGCATTTATCAGATATTTATTTTTTGCCAACATTTACTTAATTTATATTTTAATATTTGTTTTATTTTATATTTCATTTTTAGGTATAGTACAAAATCCAAATTTTTACAAAAGAATATTCTACGTATTTATATGTCAAGAGGCTCTAAATATTTTTTCAACAGCATATTTTAAAAAACATTTTTTCTTAGTTCTGCTTACTTTAGCAGGTATTTAATACATTATTTTATGTAACATTACACTTAGTTATAAATAATTTAAAATAATTAAATAGTATTGTTAATTTAATTTCTTTTGTCTTGATAATACAATTTGATTTTTTTTTTTTCATTTAGATGATAAGATAGCAAATGTCAGATATAGCTTATGCAATATCATGTCCAAGTTAGTAAATTTATTTGAAATTTCAGCTGAAAAAAATTTAGTTGATAAATTAATTGACACTATAAACAAGCTTTTATTTGACGAAGATCGCACTGTCCAAGAACAACGTCTACTTTTAGAAAACTGTAAGACTTCTATTCATATTTTAATTCAGGTAATTATATTTAATTGTATACTTACATTGAATTGATAAAATCTATAATATTAATAAATTGTTATTTAAATGGAAACAAATAGTGTACAACTTGTCATGAGTTTTATTTTTATAAATTAATTTATTTTAATAAATTGATGGACATTTGTAACATAATTTTTACTGTTATATTAGTAGTGCTATACCTACATCCAAAATCTATGTAAATTGTCAGTGAGGACCGTTGTAATGTGGCAGCCCAATGTCTTTTATTATTTGATACCATTGAAAAGATTACTGCTTTAACAATATTGACTTGATATGATATTTTGCATATTACTGCTATAGCTGTAATATCCATCAATGTGTTAATGTAACTCATTTTATTTTACTGATCTCAATTTGTTGTGCTATACTCAAAATCTGTAATGGCGAAATTATTCTATGTGGTCTGCAGAAGTGTTTTATTTTTTTAGTTTTACGATATTGAGTGTTTTTTTTTAATCTGTGAACAAGTTTTCAACCACTTTAAATTTTCACTTGTTCCATCAATTTGAGATGATTTGTCTATTAGCAATTTATATCTATAATTCTAATAATGGGAGAAACAAAATAAAAAAAAATAGAAATGTTAACTCAGCAACGATTTATGTTGCAATCAATTATGTTGTGATTCAGTAGAAAATAATCACAGAAACCTATATATTTTATTGAATGCCTTTAATCAAATATACTAGACATGGTATATTATTCAAAATATTTGGCATTTTTTTTAGTTTTATTAAACATTTGATTAGACTATTTTAAGTTGTTCTTTCTTTTATTCGAATGCAATTTTTTTTTGCTTTGTGATACAAAAGAAGAAAAATTGTGATATTAAATCAGCTTTTGAATATTGTATCTGATTAAAATGCATCATAAATTCATAAAAAAAACATTAAATATGTATTTGAAAGAATTTCAATGGTTGTGAGTTTTTAAAGTTTGAAATTATTGACTCATTGAATTTATAATTATTTTTTATTACTTTTTGTAGGGTAAACAGAATGTGTCAGAATACACTGAGAATGATCATGATGATACAATCAAATTTAGAGAAGAATCTCGTTTATTATTTATGAAGTCATCTGAGCATATTCATTTTGACAATGGCGGTGTATTTTTGAGAAGTCTCATTGAAGAAAAGATGTTTTCAAGTCAGATAGATGATTGTGGGTTACATAATTAGTATAAACAAATTTAATTTTGTTCATGTGGAACATTTCTTTGTTTTTGCAGGTTCAAAAAGTTCAAATGAAGGTGACAAAATATCTTTAGTGGGTAAAAAGACATTGTAAGTAACAAATCCTTGATATCTATTTTTATAAATTGAACTTAATAAGTTAATAAACTATAAATGTATTACATGTTTAGTATGTTGGAATCTGAGTTTATCAAAGACACTGGTGTTTCTATTAACAAAATGATGGAACATTCATCAAAAATACCAACACCTGTACATCAACCCGCCACTGAAATAAAAAATGGCAAATTACCCAACGAACAGAAGATTTCTCAGTTGCCTGTAAAAAAAGATCGAACAATATCACCTGTATGTCAGTCACAAAGGAGGAATAATAATAATGAACATGTGGTAACTCGAACAAACAATACTGCCAGAAATGCCAACTCTCGTGGAAAAAGAGTTAGTGTATCTGTGATGTCTGGTGTAAATGTTGACATTTCAAAAGATGCAAATGGAAATCTCGTAAAGTTTTCAGCAAAAAGACCACAATCTTGTTATGTAGAAAGAGATCATATTGTTTTGCCAGAAAATAAACCTGAGAAATCATTATCTGATGAATCACTGAATACAAATTCTAAAAGTAAACCATTAAGTCGTCTTCCAATAAGGTATTTGAAAAAAAAAGTTTTATAGCATACATTTTAAAATTATATAATATATTGTAGTGTATAAATAATTAAAAATTATGATTTTTAAATATTTATTTTATGATTTCAGAATAAATAATTTCCATTAGATTAGAATTGAAATCATTGATCTTATGCCAAACTTTAATATTTTATCTGTGATAAACGTTCAGTATACGCACCCCAAAAATAAATATATATATATTATATTTTATATTAAAATTTCAAATTGTAACATATTTTTAATTCAACATATCATAAGTTGATTTTGTATATTTGAAAATTTAATTTATTATTTATTTATTATTTACCTTTTTACATTTATATGACCAAAAATTATTTTTATTTTCTAACTATTGCATTTTGTGGGAAAAGTTCATTTGACTTGTGTGGATTTAGACTGATATTTTCTCTAGAATATAAATGTCTCAACAATTAATTTGAGATACTATATTTTTGTAAACCAATTGTAAAATTAGTTTTTTTATTACAGATATTTATGCATTTAGACTTTATGCATTTAAAATCCACAGAAAGCGATTAAAAACTTCACAAGAGCCCCGCAAATTGTTTCTATTAAAAACAAAAATGAGAAATGATCCAGAGAAATTCTCACCTCTCCCCTATAATGACTAACCATTAAATGCAATTGTCTAATACTACAAAACTATTAACAAAATGTTTTTTTTCTTATAATATATACTTACAAATTCTATTTAAAAGCTTGTGTTAATAATTTGTTTAGTGTTCGAAAATTGTATTTTAAAAGTTAGAAGAGGGACTTTTATAAACATACTACCTTTTTTGGTTTTTTGAAGTGCAATTCCAATTCCTCTTTTGACGTTTTGGATTGATTTTTTGTGGATTTTAAGTACATATAGTCCTGAGCCTTATTTATAAGTAATATAATAAGACAATTTTGACATTTACTTTAATCTTTTGTTTAATTAAATGAAGGCAAATTAATTTTATATCATAATAAATATATTCTTGAATTTTTTTTTTTTATCGGTTTAGTTTTATTATTGAAATAAAGTAACCAGAAGTGCAATTTTAAAATTATTATTTCTTTATATACCACTTTTTAAATGTCTAAGAAATAATATTATAAATAATGGCTGTGAATTTGTAGGAAAGTTCATTTGTTTTAATTTATTGTATAATGTATTTTTATTAAAAATTATGTAACAACAAATTTAATTGTTTAGGTAATTTTCCCACATTAAAAAATATTTCACTTTTATTTTCCTTTTAGTGGTATTTTCCGTTTTTATTTCATTTTACATTATTGTTATATTTTTTTAAATAAATTACATATTTCATAATTTATGCAGGCTTTGTATACTTATATTTTATACGTGTATTTTAAAATATTGTACACAAGCTGTATACAAGTATGTATGTACATTTGTCATGTAAGCTAATAACGGTTTTTAATTATCATATCAGTAATGAAAATCCAGAGTCTATAAATGATAGGGTTATTTTTGAGATTTTAAATGTGTTTTATAAGGTTTTTACAGTTTCTCAAATTCATAGCCCTAATAATAATTAATTATAACTAGAAACCCAATTTGTAATAATTAGTATTTACCTTATTTTTCATTTCAATCACTTTTTTTTGTTTAAAAATACAATTTTACTTTTTAGAGGGTATAAACTATTAAAATTTTAAAGCAGTTGTAAACAAAAGCAATTAATATGATGTGTATTTGTTTAAAATCAAAGACTTAGACTTATATTTACGAATTAGGTACTTAGTATTATTAATACTTTTCAATAATCCTCCAGATATTGTCATCTGGTAAACTAAATCTAATCTAATCAGTATTAATCATTATTATTCCAATAGCATTACGCATTTGAACTATTCCCACTAAATTTATGTAACTTAAGACAAATGTTTCATACAGATATAAGTTATTTTTAGTATTAATACATGGTTTTATTATAAGAGTGTTTAAATTAATATGGTCTGTAATCAAATGTTTGTAGTTATTATTATTTATTTATATTTTTTTTTTTGTCAAAATCATGACTTGTTAGTATTAATAGAGTTTAAGAAAATGTTATTATGTTGATTAAAAAAATAAAACAGAAAATTAAAATATTTCTTATTTTTTATTTTTTTTGTTTTACAATTAATAAACAATGTAAAAAAGTAACACTGATACTGGCGATGACAAAACTCATGTCAAATTGTTGATATTTTTTATTATGGTCTAAAACAAACTATTGTTTTGAAAATTTGACCACATCTTTAATAAAGAGCCAATGTAAATATTCCATAAAAATTGTATATTTCTTTGATTATTCTTGACAGATAACAATCAAACAAAATAGCTCATACTACTGATGGTCACTGTTGTAAGTGAAAAGTAATGTAAGTTAAGAATAACTTTACATTGTATCTTAAACAATAAAAAAAGTTGTTTAATTTATACGTGTAATAAATATTAGAATATGGTTTTGATTGAAGTTCAGTTACTTGTTCACATGTTTTTAGATTCTGAGTGGAGCTAGAAATGTATTAGTTTTACAATAATGTTTATAATTTACTTATTTCTTTTATCTGAACAACTTTTCTACCAAAGATTTTGATCCAATTTTAAAGTGTAGCACTTTCTTAAAGAAAATGGAGACTGGAGTGGTATTTTAAGGAGGCGTTTTTTTAATTTTCCTAGCTGTTTCCACAATAAATGGGAAAAACCGTTAGTAAAACAGCAAAAATGAATTAAATGTTTTAAGTTTTCAATTTTTTGAATTTTGTTTTGTTTTGATTCATGCAAAAATAGAAACTTGAAAACAGAAAACTTATTATATTTGCCTTTTCTAGACGTAAAATTTTCAAAAAATTGTAGACGTTTTTGTGCTATTTATAAACATTTTAATTTTACAGGTTATTTTTCGATCATATAATATTACATATCATGTGATATTTAATTATTTTACCAAAATATGACATATAAATTGTAACATATTGTTGACAAAATAACACTATTCGAAGATTCGCTAAAAATCGTTATTCGTTAGGAATGGTTATTTGTACAGATATACATTCAATTTTCTTTTGACCTTCTCAACTTCTCAACTACAACAGTGGCCACCCCATCGTGTAAAGTACGTCTGCCTTTTTAATACCAAGGTACTGTAATTTTTATGATTTTCGTAAAAATTTGATCTTAAAACTAATAAAATGAAACTACTGTATAACACTCGCCTTTTTTTTTTTATCGCCAACTGCGCTGTTGGATTTCCGAGTATTTTTGTTTGATCAAACAATTTTATCCACATAATACTTACCTATCAAAAAAAAAAAAAACTAAAATAATACGCATTTAAAAAGCTCAAAATATTTTGAAAATTTTACGCATCTCCGGTGTAAATATCGCGAATTCGTGACCGAGAGATTTTATTCAAATTTTAATAGTTCACGTGCCTGTATACGATTTTATTCGACGACGATCGGCGAGTATAAATTCGCCCCGTGTTATCCAAGTAATCCAATCATCATAGAGTTAAAAACAGATAACTGTCTAACTATAGGTATAGATTTTTATTCACGGTGTTTAAACCTAGCCTAAATCCGTTTTATTATTTTTGTAGATTATACGGAATTATTTTTACGTTACACCTATAATTATTGGTGCCTATTCAGTGGCGTGCCACGGGAGAGCTATGGAGTTATATCCACTCGCCACCCATCGGCTTAAAAATACAAAAAAAATATGTGTAATCTAATATCGTAACGCATATATTTCAGCCACGTTACGAGGAAAAGCTCGATGTATTGATTAGAAATTGGCTTTTTTTCCGGCTTTTAAACTACCAACTTCCATATATATATATAAAGTCGACGATTTTACGATTTATTCACGATTCTTATTTGCCCCATCCCCTCCCATTGAAAATTCCTGTGCGCGCCGCTGTACCCATATGTAAAACTATTATAATAATTATTTCCTAACCGATTCGCTGTCGTTCGGCCCGAACCATCGACGGAGTTTTAAATCTAATTGCGGACACATTTTGCAAGTCGTTCGTGTGTTCGTTTCGCGCATTGCAAATTACATCTGAAAACACATCTAGAAATTCGGTCGACGACGTCAAAATACTCCAGTTTACGGAGACTGTGGGTGCTTTGACGGTCCAGGACCAAAACCATTTGGAACTTCCTCAGTACGACCAGGGGTGTACCTAGGGGATGGTTTTTGGGGTTCAAACCACATCCAAATTGACTTTATTAATTTTTAACCTTATTTTTTTATAAAATAATAAAAATATGTGATGATATATTTTATCCAAATATAAAAAAAAAAACTCTTGAAATCTTAATTACTCTTCCAGTGTCAACTGCGTTAACATAACGACCTTTTTCAAATTTGCGTCGCACAAAAACATACTTGAGTTTAACTATCGGTGAAAACCGTCTCGCAGGACTAGCTGTTCATAATGACATGCCTGCATGCAGTAAGCCAATCAAAGTAGTTTAAACATTTGTTTCAACTTAAACAGGATGGACTTTGATTAAGTTATTATTATTATTAATATTTTTGGATACATAATACACAAGTACTACCTAGTATAAACTATGGAGAATATTATGTAAAACTATATTGGTTTCAAAAAATATATTTTTTTTATTATTATTTTTTTGCACTTAATCCGTGCTAATTTTGTTACTTGCAGTTATTATAATTGTTTAAGGTTAACTCTTAATGATTTATTTATAATATTTAACAGTAATATGAAAAGATTACGGTGTTTTATGCATACACTCAAACAGATTTCTACCTACTTATTTTAATGGTGTATTTGTAAATTTAACGCCCCTGAGTACGACCCTACAACTGCGACTAAAACGGTTGACTGTCGAAGTGAACACGATCAAATTTGCTATTGGTTTTATTAAGGTTTTTTTTTTTTTTTGTTCTAGTCTGCGGACCACGTTTTTTCCTAGTAATCTTGCTTCGGCGTAAAGATGTGGCACCTTTTCCGAAAGCTCAAGTTGTCTAGATCGTAACATACAAATTGTAATTTTTTGATTTTCGACGCCACTTTTTAAATAAAAGCACTTAAGTGCTTAAAGTGGAAAAAACGTAGGAAAGCGTACAATTTAAAGATTTCATTATTTTATAAAAACACGGACGACGTTTTATACCAGAAAAAATGATTTAATCGGAAAATCACAAGACCTCTTTTTCGTTACTTTTTTGGTTTACTTTCTTATGGTGTCATCGCCAAAACTACAAGGTACAATGTACCTATAGTTTTCAAAATTGTAGGTGGTGCACTGCTCCTGTGCACCATAGCACGAGCCACCACTGCTGCTTTTGAGTTTTCTTTAGTAGTTGAATGAAAAAAGAAAAAATAACTGTAAGACTCTTATGTCATATTCAACATCTACTCTACATGGTTTTAGACAATTTAAAGACGCTGGAATCATCAATATCATCCTTAAAACGAATTATTAGTGGCCATAAAATCTTTTAAATGAAGATGTTTAAAATGAAAACAATTATATACAAATTATAAAAATGCATACGAGAATAGTAAAAATTAGTTTGTATTTATTTAGTATATTTTAGTTTATATTGTTCTGTTTGTTATGATATATTTTTAATAGTTCTATACGTGAATGTTTCTTAGAGGACTAGAAAAGGAGGTGCGGGGTTTTTTTTTCAAGAATATTTTAATATCAAATTTTGACGGAAATCGTAAATATCACGGCTTTTTAAAACATTTTTTTTTTTTTTATATTTACAAATATGAATTGAGTATATTTAAATAAATAGAAATAATAATACACTTACATAATATTTATACGACAAATTTATGTTTAATATTTTTAATAACGATATCGCGTATCATAAGTACCAATATATGTATCATCCTGTTAACGAAATCAACAGCAACCGTAACTATAGTAACTATACAGACACAACGGAGATTTAAATCGTTCTAAACTGACGTTTGAAGAATAGATAAGTTAAGGGTTTTCTAACTGGAACAAAGGTACCGTCGTTAGTATAATAATCGAGTATTGCATGAAACATCAGAAGTTCATATCATGGCTTTGATAAACGCAGCACACAGGCAAACTGAACATCCTCTTGCACGGTTTTTGAATGAATCCGCCAATGCTAATGTTAAGTACTTTTAATAAAGAAATAGTTATAAACATTTAATTGATCCGACGTCGTACCTTGGCAGGCATTCGCTTTACCTTTACGAGGTCATATAAAAAGGGTGGTGAGAAAATATCCGGGGTAAGTATAATTATAAAGATTCGGCCATTAGTTCTTGAAAAATATTCGCCTGCCCTATGTTCACATGTCACTGGTGTTGAGTGAAAAGGGAAAAAACTTACAATGTCATATACTGGCAAAAACAGAACGATTTTTATTAACAACACTAATAACATTCAAAAAAAAAAATATTTCATAAAACTATTGTGTTCTCGGTAAATGTCTGCAAAGTATTGACATTGATTTATGTACCGCCCCATTAGCCGCGTTCAACAAACACTTAATGTTATTAAAATATTTAGAAGATGAAATTCAAAACATTTGTACACAAAGAAAAAAAAAAAACCCCCGTGGATGTAGACATTAAACTGGAACGAATTCGGCATGCGGGGTATGAGCCTGTTAAACAAAGGTGCAAGAACTATTTTTCATGTGTGTGGGGGAGGGGAGAAGGGGCAAAAATAGTGACACCGTCTATATTTCTTTAGACCCTCCTCTCAACCTAATGATATACGGCATACATGTAGGGACAGCGGGGTTAATACACTGTACCATTGACAATTTCAATATTTGTCTGCGGTATTCGTAAAGGCGAAGCTGTATTTAATTGGGACGAAAGGGGGAGGGGTGGAGCGAAGTGATACGTCTGTCCCCGTATGCTTTACGGACCGAAGGGACGAGTGTCTCCCTCTGTTTCCCCTGCTGTTGGGTCACCGCGGCTAAAAAAAACCAACGGTTTTATAAATCTGCTGCCGGATGGTGAGGGGCGGGGGAGGAAAACCGAACGAAACTGACGGATAAGCGATGTTCTGTTGTATCGCCGAAAGCTTATAGAAAAACTACGGG